AGCCAGGCCTGCATTGTCATACATCTGCTCCTGAGAAGGCTTTGCCATTTGGAAATACAAGCATTTGGCTCTGGCAAATGGCACTCTGACAAATCATTGCAGTGTTTGATGTCCTCTAAATGTCATTGTCTAGTAATCAGTATTGATTCTGGTAGCTCTTTCAGAGGCTGGACTGTCAACAACAACTTTGGGAAGATGAGCCTTTGACACCTGGAGGTGGGCTGCTGCCTTATTGGTGCATTGCCAGGACCAGAATTCCCCAGGGCCTATCATTACCTCTCCGGAGGAGTTTTTGGATACTTGTAAAATTTCCTTATTATGTAATCACCATCAATATTGTATTTGTAAGACTTTCTTTTTCCTATTTGTGGTGATCACCACCTTGATACTTAGTTATTTAAGGATGCATAATAAGGCAGAAATTTAGGACCAATTCTATACAGTAATGTTCAATTTTTCCAACTTTCTAGTCATCTTAGGGAATGATGTATTCCAAGCAGCATTTTTTTTTTAGTATATAAAATTTACCTCCTGAAGTAACAAATTTAAAGATTTTTGAATAATTATATATTAAGAGAAGAGACAGTAGGTGATCCTAATACCATAGGTGGAGTAGCAACTTATGGTGGGGTAAGAGAAAATTTACATTCCTATCCATACTGACCTCATTATCTCATGGTTGGTGGGAGTTCAATACCTTCTTGTCAAGTCCTGGGAATGCCTTGCTTACCTGCAGACAGAGCTGTAAATGGAGAATATCAGATTTCCTTGGGAGGCAGGCATAGTCTTATAGGAACTGTTACCACTGGCCAAGAAAGAAGCTTCCCCTTCTGTGATGAGAAACAGAAGCAAAACTTACAGGACACCCGGCAAACAATAGGCCAAGCCTGCCGCAGCACCAGCAAGCTCTGCAGAGCCCTCTCCCACCAATGGGGGCAGCAAAGAGTTGCAGAGGTGGGCCATCATCCACATGGGCAGAGGAGTCAAGGGGCATGTTTGGGAATGGTGAGGATTCAGTGGAGAGCTTGGACTTCCAGGAATAACTCTAGGTGGTGAATCAGGAATCAAAGACATTACTGTTGTTCTCTTGTTTCCCCAGACTTGAGAGGTAAAGAAAACACAAATTAGATGAAGAAAAACAAACTACGGCCCTTGCTGTCAGAACCACACTGATAGAGTGGTTAGAGAAACTGCCACGTACACACACAATACAGGTGAGGGGGCAGAGTTAGGGCAATGGGTAAGGAATGTTGAGTCCAGAGAATGTTGAGAATTGGGGTGAGTATGGATTGGCCAACCTTCATGATCTGAATGGGCATAATAGTGCTGTGGCCTCTATGGAAATCTTTCATAAGGTGACTGAGTGTGTTTGTTTCTTTTTGAGGCATAAATGCTCTCAAGAATGTTAATGGGGAAATGAGAGCTGAATCTCTCTCATTCATTCTAACCAGATGAGATTATTAGTTTTCTAGATCATTTCTTGTTTATATTGAAACTTCTGTACCCTGGTCTTCTCTGGCCAGGTTAGAGGTAAATGCTCCTTCCTCCCCCACATAAAGAATCAGAGGTCCAGAGAAGATAAGATTTTGCCCAAGTTTGGAGTTACAGAACCAGGGGAAGAATGCAGGTCCTCCAATTGATAGGTCAGGGTGTAACCTCTTCTGTAGTGCAGCCTCTGAATACAGTATTCTTCTCCAGCTAGATTGGACCAAAGAACCTGACTCTGGGAACCTCTTGATAAAATATAATATGAAGCCATGCATTAAGCTCTAGTCATCAATAATAAATTGGTGTGGGTGGTGACAGATCTCTCTCACATGAACCAGCAGGATAGGCCAGTAGGATAGGATTTAGACTAACTTACTCTCATTCCTACTACTGGTAGAAAAAAAACCAAAAACAAAACAGAGAAAACTTCCCCCTTCTTTCCTCACTCTGCTCTGCTCTCAGTCATATCCCCACCTCGGTCAGATCAGCATCTTTGTTAATGATTAGGAGCAGAAGACAATGTTGACTTTCCTATTTGGGTCATATCAAGGTTTCCTGGATGAGGCACATCTTGGCTCTTCCTCTGTTTTTCTATTTGCCATTTCTGTGATGGAAGGGGAACTTAAAATGATGTTTCAGAAAGAATCTTACAGTCTCTCATTCCCTCTCATACCTAGGAGACCAGGGGTAGAGGATGAAAGCTGTGAAGCCTTCCTTCTGCCCGCCAGCGGAGTCATTGGTGACTAGCATGATGAATGTCTTTAGAAGAGCTGAACCTCAGAAAATGTATTTTTTGTGTTGAGCATTGTTTTCTAGAGCTGTATAAATGGCACGCCTTATCTGGTAATTGAGTAAACTTTTGATGTCCCATTGTTCTGTGAGGAACAGGGGTCATTTTATTCATCTCACTTAGTCCCCATTGCCAGCTAGGTGAAAAGTGAGATGCTTCGATCAGATCTCACCACTGAACATATATCCACAGCCTGAGCTAATTCCTTCTCTGACAAATTTCTTTCCTTACATATCTTCTCACAGAACTGCTGGCTCTTCATACTGGTCCAAACACAGCCCTGAACACCTCACTTCCTTATTCAAAACAGCTGCTGAATGACTATAGCCGAGGCTGCCAAAGAGTGGCCCCTGGACCAGCAGTGTCAGCATTACCTGGGGGCTTGTTAGAAACACAAATTCTTGGGCCTCCCCCCAGACCCACTAAATCAAAAACTGAGGCCCCGCAAGCTGTGCTTTGACAAGTGCTTCAGGTGATTTTGATGCACATTGGACCGAACTGGACTACAGCATTAAGTACTCTCTGGAGCTTGCCATGGTATAGCCCTCTCCTCCTATTCCTCTGGGTGTGCTCCCACACATACTCGGGTGCTCAGTACTCTGGTTAAACAGAAGAGGCCCTTCATCTTCATGCCTCCCTGCTTTTACTCAAATGGGCCCTCTGCCTGGACTGTTCTCCCCTTCTTTACCCCATATCTGTCTGCCTAATTCTTTACCTAAAATCTTTTTCTGCCTTAAATGCTAGTGGGCATGTTTCTGATGAGGGCGGTGTTTCCATTTTAGCAGCAACAATAGCTCTCCCCAGTTATTCACAGGCCATAGTCATTCTGATAGAACCCCAGCAGCGCTGCAGGGTTTCTCCAGGTGACGGTTTGCAAGCATCCTCTAATCAGCCCATAGGCTAACTAACATTTGCACATTGTTTTCCTTCCGGGAACTTCCAAAGGCAAGTATTGTGACAGAAGAGGGGATGACTCAGTCCTGACCTGATGAGAAAACAAGATATAAAATCCAATACCACTGATGTGAGCAATGAATGATAATGACAATCTGTACTTAAAAGGCATGGGCCTTGATCATTATCTTGTGCAGTATCCAGCCTCCCCAGCTGAATGCATCCTCAGGATATGAAACTCATCCCCATAATTTAAGCACTGGAAAATACTGGTAGGCTCATAAAAAGTATATACTGTAAGTGCATGATGTTCTCAGCAATGTGTTCACTTCTGCCACATCATGATGACTTTCATTATAAAAAAAACACAAACAAATTGTAAGTAATAGTCCTAAACTTTCAGCTAGTCTCCACAGGGCATTGATCAAAATGGTATCTACCAACATGATCCCTATTATCTTCAAGGTGTCATTCATTAATTAGGTCCGAAGGCATTTGCAATGGTGGGGAACCAGGCAATCTCTTATTGTCCAAATAGATAATAATGACTAACATGTCTTGCTTCCTTTGAAGGACTGTTGTGGATGTTAACTGGAGCATAGGTCCCTCTATAAATGGCAACGTTTAGTGTAAATATTAGTTAACATTATTATTGTGATCACCTACTCCCTTCTGCTGACCCCAAAGCAAGAGACCTTACTTATCAGTTTCACCTGACAGACTGAGAGATCATGATTCTTATAATTATATCATAAATACTTGGTCAGTCCTAGATTGTGAGCATAGGTGACTAAGGCTTGGTTGAAAATGGCACTGGCTTTTAGCGAGATGTTGTGATTAAGGTGTAGAAGAGTTGGAAAGAGCAAATTTGGTTCAAAGCACAGATTTTCACAGTGTGGTCCATAGGCTGGTCTCGTCACAGAATTATGGGTTTGGAGGGGACCAGAGAGATGAATTAGTTTAACCTTCACACTTTTCAGAAATCTATGCCACAGCATCCCTGACAGATATTTTCTAGCTCTTACTTGCAAATCTCCAGAGCTGGGTGGGCTTGTCGTCTCAACAGCTCATTCCATTGTTAGGTATTTTCAGTTGTTGAAACATTCTTTCAAATTTGAGGCAAAATCTGCTTCCATGTTACTTCCAACTATTGGCCTTCATTCTCAACTTCAATAGACACACAAAAGCTGTTCTTCTCACTATGGTAGGACTTCCTGAAGAAATGACACACAGGTAGCATGCTCCCATCGGGTCTCCACTTCTCCAAACAAAATACCTCCTGGCCTTGTAACTGTCCTCTGTTGTTGTGGTTTCTAGAACTGCCTCATAATCCTAGTTCCCTTCTCTGGATGAGGAGCATGGATGTGTACAATGTGATTTGGGGGATAATAATAAGCTGTCAGGGAGCCACTAGGTCTTTTAACGAGAAGGCAGATGTTCTCTGAAAAGCGTCCCCTCCTGTCTTCTCCCTCAATGCAGCATACCACTTTAAGAATTCAAAAAGGACCTCTATGTCACTGACCCTCCAATGCTCCAAGACCCCTAGGAACCAAGGCAGTGACACTGGGCTGTGGGACAGCCTGTTCCTGTCTGTTGGGAGAGTGAATTCACTTGGCATGGTTCCTGCTGACCACTTCTTTATCAAAAGTGATGTGATTCTTCCCAGTAATTCTATAGAAATGTTTAAGCAGCAGATAGTGTAGGAAGTTTGATGCAGTGATAAAATGCACAGACAGGCAGATCTAAAGTTCAAATACGGCTCAGCCACTTTGGTAATTTGCTCTACATCCCAAGTCTCTGTTTTCTCATGTAAAAAGAGGATGATCATTGCTATCTCACAAAGTTGATGTGAGGGCTAAATGTAATGAAATTTCCAAAACAGAGTCTGGCTCACATAGGTGCTTATAAGTGCACTTTGGTGTTCTTAGCATATGGGCTTGCTATTGGGGTTTTGGCCCTTTTCCAAAGTAGTCCATGTAAGGTGTTTGAGACACTCTGGTGTGGTGAGAAGGGGACTGAGGAATCTAAAGCAAGGACTGGTAGAGTTCTTTTTAAAAAGGGCCAGATGTTATTACTTTAGATTTACATTTAAATAGTCACATGTGCCTGGTTACTGCCTTTTTGCCTTGGAACATGTGAATTAGAATTGGGACAAATAAGGCTAAGCCCAGTCTGTGGAGTGAGACTATTAGGCAGTAGAGGAACGTTTCAAGTTTTCCAGTAGGAGACTATCAAGAACAGAAATGTGGAGAATACCAAGATGACTGTACTTGTGCTGACATACCTGTGCAAGGGGGGGTCAGGAATTGTAGCCTTGTAGGGTATATCATCTCTGTCACAACTACTCAGCTCTGAGAAGAATTTCCTTATTTTATTAAGGCTGAAAAACATTCCACCATATGTTTATATCACATTTTCTTTATCTAGTCATCCACTGAGGGACATTTAGTTTGTTTCCACATTTTGGCTGTTGGCAGTGAACCTTTGAGATGCTGATTTCTTTCTGAGAAACCACCTTACTGTTTTCCATAGCAGCTATATCATTTTACATTCCCGCCAACAACATACAGGACTTCCGTTTCTCCACGTCCTTGAAGACATTTATTCTTTTGCTTTTTTGGTAATAGCCATTCTAACCAGTATGAGGTGATTAGAGTCTTACTTTCTGATCTCAGCCCTGGGAACCTGCTTCTTCTGTGTTTGTCTTTGCAGGAGCATCTTTCGTCTACCCTGCAGTATCCCTCTGGGATCTGGGTAGGTTCTGGGAGCCCCTCTGGCCTCACTGGGCACACAGCCCCAAAACCTTTCTGGAGATTTGTTTAAAATATTTGTAGTTCCTGCAGTGGCATGGATCTCCACCCACTGTGAGGGCAGGTGGGTGAGGGAGGATGAATCCTTCAGAGGAGACCCACTGGAGATTTCCTTATCACTGGGGGTGAAGTACTTATGTCCTGTGTTTCCATTTGAATCATCTGTTAGTGGTGCAAAGTGCCTCCCTGACAGCCCACACTCTTGCTCTGTATATAAAATAGAATTACAATTATTTGTGATAATTTCGCATCTCCTCACTCTGCGAAAGCAGGGCCTTGTTGGATTGCCATCCATGGCTCCATCTTCACATCCAGCAGAGTGATCAACACAAGGTACAAAGGTGCACACTCAACAGTTACCTGCTCAAGTTCAGCCCCTCTACTCATCCACAGAACTTTTGCAGGCCACACTTGCCAGATATTTTCTCTTCCTAGCACTGTGGGGAGAAGTTTGACTTTCAACGGTTAATGGACTCCAGGCTTGAAAAATGGACACGTACCATAGGTGTGGCCTTGACTAGAGGCCTCCGAGCTCAGGCCTCTGAAGTTGTCGTGGTGGCTGTCGCTGATACATCGTTTCGGTTTATGTCCGTGATTGGCATGGATGTCTTGGAGAGAGGAGACATTAATATCTTAAGGAACTGCTCCTTGCAAAGTTGGGAATGATGATGCATTCAATATTTTCTTCCTTGGAGAAAGGAACTTTTAGAATTTTCGTACTTGGTGTGCCTTCTTCTGATCCTTGTATCAGATTGTGTGAACTAAGTTCTGGAGGGCTTTTCCTTCTGTAATTATCAGCAGTAATAGCAGAAGAAAGTGAAGTTCTGGATCCTGTGCTCACAAACCAGTTGTGGACCTCCAGAGTTGGCTGACCTCCAAAAGGCAGGAGGGCAAAGTCTTGGACTGACAGGCTGCTGGGAGAGCTTCCAGCTCAGCATAGGCTGCCTTGCTCACATCCCCAGGAATGTAAAAAGCTGAGTTATCCATTGGCTGCCAGCAGGGGTAACTGAGAGGGGTGGGCAGAAGCGGGTGGGTACATGGGGAGAGCACTGACGACCTGGCTCTCTCCCTGGGACCTGCCATTCCAGCCACCTGGGGCCTCCTCTGGGCGCCCGTGGAAGGCAGGTCGCAAGCTAGGGCCCCTTCTTCCCCTGCCCTACTACTGCCACACCGTAGGCCCATTCAGAATCCCATGGCCCTTACTGCTATGATTTGGCTGAGTAACTCCAGTCCCTACATTGTCCCATGAATTCTTGCAGGTTTGAATGCATGCTCCGTGTGGCTTCCTCATCTTCTCCCTTTCCCTTTGTTTGGTGTTGTAGTGGACTGAGTAGTGGTCTTCCTGAAAGATACGTCCAAATTGACCTTATTTGAAAAAGAGATCTTTGCAGATGTAATATAAGGACCTGGAATGGGATCACCCTGGATTTACGGTGGGCCTTAGACCAAAGACAGGTGTCTTATAAGAAGAGGAGAGGACACACAGACATGAAGGAAAAGGCCACATGAAGCTGAAGGCAGGAATTACAGTGACACAGCCACAAGCCAAGGAATGCCACAGATTGCGCCCTGTGGTGGCACAGAAAGGACTGTCCTTCAGAACCCCCAGAAGTCAACGCTTCTGACCCCATGATTTGGGCCTGCTGGCCTCCACACACATGAGAGAATGAATTTCTGTTGTCTTAGCACCTAGTTTGTGGTAATTTGTATAGCAGCCCTAGGGAATTAATACAAGTGGTGACACGAGTGTAGTTTGGAAAAGACTTTTAAGACTAGCTTATTGACCCTATATTATTATCTTCTCAACAGCATCATCTAGGCTGCTGCAGCCAGGGCTTGGATGTATTGAGGAAAATAATGCTGGGTCATGTGCTTTTAATCACTAGCCCTGGGGTTCTCCTCCCCTGAAGTCAGGGGCTGTCCGTGGCAGATAACACCTCTCTTCTTCTTATCAGCTGGGAAAAAGAACAACCATACTAGACTGCTGGGAACAATGGAAAGAACAGTTTGGTTACAGGCATTTCATATTTCTCTCTTTTCTCTGTCCCTCCTTTGCTGCTTAGTATCTAAGCTAGGAAAGATCAGTGTCCCAGCACGCAGCAGCTGCCACGGGTTAGATGGCAATCACAACCCATCTTCTAAATGATGGAATCTTCTTAAAGGGGCAAAGTAAAGCAACATTAAAAATTAGAGAAAAGAAACCCTCCCACCTTCACTACCCTCTTTGGTCCTTCTCCCAGGCACCAGCCCTCTCGTCAGAGTAGAGTGGCTGGAAACACTAACAGGGCGAAGCAGAGAGAGTGTCCTGCGTGTGTGGGTGGAAGATACTCTGGGGAACCACTAAGGGGCCAAGTGGGGGATGGCTCATGCTGGCTGCTCTGCTTGTCAGTGTTTCAACATGTTAGAATGTTGATGTGCAAGAATCTTCAGTTGTTCTATGGGCTGAAAGAAAACCCAGTTGTCTCACTTCACAATAAGAGAGATTTTTGGCAGTCATTAAATGGTCCAGCGCTGCAGCCTCAAGACATTTCTGCTGCTGCGTGTGTGTACCGCTCTGAGGTGCTTCCGTGCCCTTCATTTCATCTGAGTCTCCCAAGAAAGAGTCTGTGAGATGGGTAGAGAGGAAAATTACCCCATTCAAAAAATCACAATACAGGAGGTTTTGGGCCATGTTGAGCACAGCAGGGAAACAGTAAGGAAATACAGGCTTGGAGAGGAGTGTGGGCTGGGGAGCAGATATGGCAGACTCTGGAACAGTGAAGAAACCTTCATGACTGGAGAGCAGGGCACGTGGGTGACACACATAGCTGGAGAGCTCTGTCATTTGAAGAGGTTTGTGGAATGGCATGGTTGATTAAGAATGCCAATGCAAGGGGAATAAAAAGAGGGAAACCTGTGATTTGTGAGTAGGTAGTCCCTCCTGAAGCCTAAATGTTCACTTGGAGGTGGATTTTCCTAAAACTGTGTCTCCTCATGCAAATGATTACCCCTCATAATGATGCTCCAAGATAATACAATGGATAAACTCTGTCCTCTGCAATAATGAGTGGAGGCTGCTGCGGTAGCTGCTCATGCATCATGGATGTGGCTGTTGATTGGGGGCCCCCTCCACAAGGCAGCATTTTGGGAAGCTGGCTCTGTTGGGCACAAGGAAGCCTGGGCTGGTGGACGTGACCATTGGGCTGTTATCCGGCTGTGATGAGCTTTGAGAAGAGGAACTTGGCACCTCCAGAATCCCCAGCAGGAGGTCTGTTCTCAGCTGGTCTGACACATCACATGTGCTTTTTGATTTGCACACATAAAACAAATCTCTACAATGACTCTCTCCCCACAGCCTCTTCAATTAGAGCTGCCTTTGTCCTTAGCCCCCTTTTGTTGACCAGCTTAGAAATTAGTTAGAAGGGAGAAGAAAGGGAAGTTGTCTTTGTGGTCAGTAGCTCTGGAGAGCTGGCTGCTAATGAAGGAGACTTGAATGGGGCAATTGTGCTGCTGTTTATATAGTTTTTATTTTAATTTGCATCCGTACCAGCCTCAGATCCCAAGGGTCATTTTGCCATGTTTGGAGAATTTATCTCCTCCCATAGAGCCAAATCTGCCAGCTTATCATTTGCTTCAAGGAAATTAATGTGGGTCTCCCCTCCCTTCACTTTTATCATGTGCTCTTGAATTGTTTATACATTCATGGAGACAAAGAAAGACTCTTCAGAAACCACAGAAGGTTTCTTTCCATGTGTTTCTGGGTCATCTGAGATTTAGCTCTCCTGTTAAAAGGCTTCTAGTGCCAAGGAGTCAGGGAGCAAGTCCTAGAATGGGGCAACGGGATGGAGAGTAAGGGATGGGGGCCTGGCGTCAGGGAGCTGAACTAAATCTCTTGAAGGAAGAGCGAGAGAAACTGTACTCCATTTCCCCTTACCCTCTGTGTGGATATGCATTCTTTACTCTTCTACTTTTCCTGATGATCTCAGCAAAACTTGACTCAAGAACTAACTCCAGCTTTTTAAATAAATTGCCATCCCTCACTGTGGCATTTCAGACTCTGCATAACTTAGCTCCTTTTAGTTCCTGCTGCTGTCTAATGAGAATTTTCAGAAATAGTGATTTCTGAGCCTGTGTTTCTCCTCACCTGTGAGCTTAGCTCTGTTCCACATCACTGCACAAGCTGACCCCACCTGGCAGGCGCCTCCTGCCCTGTCCAGCCCACCCTGCCTTCCGTCCCACACACAGCCCTCCTTGTGTACGGAGCCTTCCCTGAACGCTCTCCAGCCCCCAGGGTGCTCTGCATCACTAAGGTGCTGGCTCCTCAAAGCGGCACCTGACCCAGAGCAGCAGTCTTCCCTCAGAACATGAGAATGCAGAATCTTGAGCTCCACTGCAGAACTACTGAATCAGAACCTGCATTTGAACAAGGCATTTCAACTGGGTATTTTTTGTGCATACTAGTTTGGCAGCCCTGTTCTAGATGCCTACGGCATTTATCATTCCACTTGCTGATTGATTTATTTCCACATGTCTTCATGCATGTGGGCCTTGCTTCCCTAGTATGAGTGTTGGCACCTGAAGACAAGGACAGGCAACCTAGGTTCACTTATGGCATCATTTACAGTCCAGTGTTTTGATGTCCTTTTATGTATGTGTTCTGTTTTTTTCATGTTAATATATTAAGGGTGGGGACCTCATGCAAATTTTTCTTATCTCGATACAGCTTTTTCTCTCCCCTTGATAAATAAGCCTTCCCCAGGACTCTTTATAGTAGAGAACAGGGTAACTACCCAGTTCAGAGAGGACATTTCTAAGCCTCTTCCCATATTGTGTTGGGTTAGAGAGCCTGGTGCATGCCCAGAGCGTTGTCCTTGGGGAGTCTGCCTCATCTCTCTGCACACTCTCCTTCCTTCAGTTTTCCTACACAGTCACTACCAAATCAGATTAATGGGGATAAAGGAGGTCATACAAGGTGATGCACAGCATGCACAGGGGCACGGGGGATGAGCTCACAAGTCTGAAAGCCTCTGGGGAAGGAGCCTCAAGCTTTGTCTGGAAAAGGAGGAGGGTTTTCTGTTAAATCTAAGTGCCATGGGATAAGGCACACAGGCCAGGGCTGCATGGGGATGGAGAGCCAGTGCACTATTATAGTGTGTGTGTGTGTGTGTGTGTGTGTGTGTGTGTGTGTGTGATGTGTGTGTGATGTGTGGGTGGGGAGGTGGCAGAGAGGAAGGGGGAGAAAGGAAGAACTACCAGGGTGCTCAGGGGGGTGTGGCAGGATGAGGTGGCACAGGCTGGGGGATAGAGGGCCCCCAGTTTGGGGCTTTGTGCCCACCTAAGGGAAGTAAGATCTCATTCTACAGGTGATCGAAAGCCACTGGAGGAATTGGACTGGTAGGAGACAATTAGGGAGTTTAAATCACTCTGTGCTAACAGTGGGGTGGGTGGTCTGGACAGGGTGACAGGGAAACCTATGGGGAGGCTCTAGCCAGAATCCAGGCAAAAGAGGATGGTGTTAAGGGTGTCAGCCGTTAAGGGACCCTGGAGTCATGCTTTCCCGTACCTCATGTCCAGTTAGTTGCCAATTCCTGTTCAATCTGCTTCTGAACTCTTCAGAACTTAGTCTCTGTTGTCCATCTCCAGTGGCATCATCCAAATACTCTTCCCCCAAGTGTTCTTCCCAAGTGCAGTCTGGCCTGGCTCTTTTCCCTGGCTCTGCAGTGTCACCGTCTGGAGGACAAGGACCAACCCCCTCACTGTGGTGTCAGCAGACCCTTCATTCTGGCCCACCAGCTACCCTCTAACCTGCTCTCCCATCACCCCCATTGCATATCCCCTCTCTGCTCAGAGTTCCCAATTCCTGGAACATAGCTTGCCCTTGGGAATTTTAGAGCTTTCTCCTGCACTTAGAAAGTCTTCCACCAGCTCTGCCTGGTGAATTCTACTCTTTCTCCAAGATCCAGTTCAAATATCATCTCCTGGGGAAACCACCCTGAGTGCTTTCTTCTCTGTGTCACCAAAGGTTTTTTATGCATCTCTCTCTGACTTCTTATACTCAATATGATGTGACTGTTTATGCATCTACCTTCCCCCAAGTTGGCCAATGCCTTGAGGCAGCCCCTGGAAAAGGCCAGTGTGGGCACCGCATGGCAAGATGCACCCAATTACCCCCTCTCCCGGGCCCTTCATCTCTGCGACAATAGCTCCCTGCTCCGCACTTGGTCCAGGACACCAGTTCGCTGAATTAGGCGAGCAGCTGGCCTGAGTGGGGGAAATGGAGGCAGGCTCCTGCATAGGGAGGTGGTTATAAGAAACACACAAGTCTTCACTAGTATTAATGGAGAGTGGAGTTACAGCTCTCTGTATTGTTTTACATTTTTACAAGAACCTACTGCTTTTGCAAGTGAAAAAAAGAGAAAAGGAAAAAACTGAAAAGAAAAAAAAAAGAGTATATGTGTGAGAAACTAACTACAGGTGATCAGTGTATTTATTTTTAACTTTAAATTTTTCAAACATACACAGAAGTAGGAAACATACTGCAGTGAATCCCCATGTACCTGTCACTGGCTCCAACAGTTAACATTCTGCCATTCTTGTTTTATCCCACCTTTACTTAGCTTTGTTGGTGATTTTTACAGCAAATTCCTGATGTCACATCATTCCATCCATAAATATTTGAGTAGGTATTTCAAACAGGTAAAGACTTTTGACAGAACAAAATAATACCATTAACATACTTAACACAATTAAAGGGAATTTTTAAAATATCAGATAATAAATAATGTGTTCAGTTTTCCCAACTGAGTTAAAAAAAATCTTTTTTCCATTGTTTTGTTCAAATTAGTAAAAGATTACTTAGAGCTTTTAGAAAACATTTTTTTAAAATGTTGCCCTGGCTGTGGCCCATGAGCTGTGCTGCCTCGGGGCCAAGGCCTGGACCACCTCCTCCTGTGCAGTGTGCGCTGGCCTGTGGGCGGTCAGCGCATGTGGAGCCAGAGGTCACACAGTAACTGAGTGTCCTCCCAGGAGAGGCCAACACAGGAAACCTGAGGCCACAAGAAGTCAAGGATGGGGGAACTGATGTTCCTGATAATCCAGATCCTTAAAGGAATGGACTGCTTCAGAAATTCAGGCATCACAGGCTTTTACTCCCTGAAAGTAGTGTGGGGTGTGTTCTTCACCTCTGGTTTCTGCACCTACTTCTCAACTGCCCCTTGCACTGTTCAAGTCTAAGGAGGAGGAATCTGGGTCATCTACAGCCCAAGAGAGCTAGGCATTTTTACAAGAATCTATTGCTTTTGTGTAAAAATCCTTAGGGATTAGCATAGGCCCTGGGACAAGTGAGGGGCCAGGTAGCAGAGACTGTATTTGTGTATTTGGCAAGGAGAAGGCTACTGTTCTGTGCCTCCCAAAGGGGAAGCTTGTAATAGAACAAAGCAGTGGATCTAGTGAATCTGGGGTGCAAAGGGCTGGAGAGAGGTATGGTGACTGGGAAAGTAATCTGCAGAGCAGAAGAACAGCCCTTGTCAATCCTGCATGTACATCATGTATGTATTTATAATTTCTATCCCATTTTCATGAAAACTTGAGGTGGCTTACAATAAATATAACAGGTAAATCTGTCATTAGAATAGGCTGAATGAAGGCTTGGCACATGATCTGGCCTTTGCACACCCACCAGTCTGTTTTTCCAATAATAAGTCTTTATAAAAGGGCTGCACAGTTTTTAATGTGTACATTCTATTTTTAAGCCTTATTATGCCTCATATTAGAATAAGTGTCAAAATAAACAAACACCAAGTACAAGTTTAAATAATGTGCTACTGCTTAGCTATTATGAGCTTTCTTATCTAAACACTTTTCTTTTTAAAAGTTTTTATGAACTATGTCAAAATACAGAAGATATTATTCTTTGTAGCTCTTGTATAGGTAATAATATGAGTACCTTATACTCAACACCCACCTTCGGAACTAGTGTTTCATAAATATAAACTGAAGCCTCTTACATGGCTCCTCACCTATCCCCCTCCCTTCACAGGTATTGCTTTCTCCTAAGTCTTGTTTGTATTAAAAAACAGTATATATAAATATTAAATAATAAATATAATTGTAAATATTTGCATGTTTTAAAATGTGCTAAAAATACAATATGTAAGAAATTAAATACCTGATTTTCTTTATACAGTGAAGACAAATGGAGGCCCAGGACTTTTATGTGGCTTCTGGACATCTCTCTTCCAACTTGCTATTCAGAATAATGGCATTAATGATCTTCTTAATACTTCTCCATTGTTGCTCTTATTTTTCTCTGCGTGGCTGACCTCAGGGAGTCTGTGCAAACCTCCTCCCTTCCTGGGAGCTCTGGAATCAGCCAGACTTGGACCAAAACTTTTCTGTGTTACTTGGTAACTACGTGACCTCAGGCAAATTGCCTCTTGGGGCTTCAATTTCCTCTCTGTAAAACAAATATTAGTACTTGTAAAACAAATATAGCAGTAGTTACCTCAGAGTTCTGAGGTTTTAAGAAGACACTGCACATTAGGGGCTGAGCTCTGCATCAGCCAGATAGCAAGATAGCAAGAGTCTGATAAAGATTTTTGGAGTGCTGTATGTCCTTCTGAATTATTGCAACCTGACATCAGGTCCTTTTATCCACCCACAATGATCTAGAATTGCCAAATAAAAGCACAAGGTCTAAACAAGGCTATTCAGATTTCTTCAGAATTTGTGGGGAAAGAGCGACTATTTCCTTTGTAAATAAGAGCTGCATGGGAATAAACATTTCCATGCTGGAAACTGTGTGTCCTTACTGGACTTAACATTTCCAGGATGATGGAAGCTCCAACTCTCTATGGAATGTGGTCTTCATGCACAATGGCCCAAATCAAATAGGCTGACAGGACAGTGATGAGTGAGAACCACAGGGATTAATTCCAGACAGCTGAGATTTGTCAACAGCATAAATGTGGAGTTCCGCTTCTCATCTCTTTTCAAGAAATGGACTTGATTTACTGTGAACTAAGTTCTTTCAGGATCTGTAAGCTGAAATGAGAGAATTACCAGGGCATTTAAACTCGAAACATTGTTTTCTATTTCTAGTCAAAGTATTTTCCCCTTCTATAATTTAGATTTTTTCTTCAAAACCATCCCTTACAAGTCCTACAGAGGGAGTTGACCCAGGTAAGCCTAATCAGCAAGGCCTCAGCCTGAGCAACCAGTTCCAGGCTTTCTTGTTGCCTGACTGCCAGGACATACCAAAAAGAGCTTTGTTTCCTCACCTGTACAATGGAGATAAAAATGTATACCCATTCCTCATTTTCTGCATCCTCAAAGGTAAATGCTTCCTTAGCTCCAGCTGCCTTTGGACATGGGGAACTTCTCAGATTCGCCTTCAGGGCGGAGGTGCTCACTCCCTCTGCTGCCACCCACAGCCCAGTCCCTCCCAGGAATGGCTCTGCCTGAAAAGAGTTGCTTTGGCCAAAGTTACACTCCCTTCCCAGAGGCAGTCCTCATCCAATGACTCATCCAGGTGGAGGCGGAAAGGCCCAGCCACTTTTCTCATTTTGGGATAACTCCGAAGGACCCTCTCAAGCCCAGAGCTCCTTTGGGGATCTGCTGAGGCCTTTGTTCACAGCCCAGCTTCTTCCTCCACTCAACCCTGTCTTCATTTCTCCAGAGGAATTGCACCCAAGTGCTTTTCCCAGTACACCTCAGACATGCAAACCTCGAGGTCTCAGAGTCTGTTTCTTAGGGAACTTAACCCGAGACATTAGTGGAGAACAGACTAACATCTGTCAATCCTTGGAGTTTATTAGAAACAGCAATCCTGTGATGCCATGACATTGACACTTTTTTTCCTCCAGTCTTATTATAAAAATTGTAATTTAAGGAATACAGTAGCAGAGGGGAGATCAGCCTTATTCAAACAAATAAACAGGGAGAAATCAAATCAGGAAAGGGAAGGAAGACACATGAAGGTTTTTTAAGAAAGGTTCAGGCTAGAGATAGTGTCAGGAATTCACAAGACTTACCAGCATCTGGGTGGGGCTGATACTGGACGGGAGGTCGCTCCTTTTCTCTACCCCGCCTGCCCACCATAGACCCCAGTCAGGCTATTTGTACCCTTAAAGGAAGGCAGATCTAATGGATTTTTATAGGTCTGTCTATAAATGAATCTATGGTAGTTCCTTTTTCATTTTTTTAAAGTTGCATGTGTACTATATGAATACTTTCTTCTTGTAAAAACATCAACCAACAGAGCATTCATAGCAGGAGTCTCTCTACTGCTGTGTCCCAAACCCACTTTTCTACCCAGATAGAAATATTATTATCAGTTTAGTAGGTATTTTTCCAGATGTATTTCTATCCATTTACACATACATATATGTATATACAGAAAGGTGTAGTTTTGTGGGTATACACATTTAAAATATAGATTTCAGTATGCATATTGTTAAGCAATTCTAGGTTGTATCCAATGCTACATTTTTGCAGTACTCTAATTAAAACTTTTGTATATTCTTCATTCTTGAGTGCAAGTGTTTCTGTAGGTTAGCTTTTGAAAACAGAATGCTGGGTCAAAGACCATGCACAGTTTAAAATATGGTGTAACCTAATTTTCCTCCTATCTCTTAACTCTGGATATTTTTTTTTTTACTTTACTTCAGCTTTATTGAGATATAAGTGACATATAACATTCTCTAAGTTTAAAGAATACAATATGATGATTTGATATGCACATTATTGTGAAATGATTACCACAATAAGGTTAGTTAACACATCTATCACCTTACATAATTGCCATTTTGTTATTGTGTTACGGTATGAATGTTTAAGATCTCTCTTAGCAACTTTCAAGTATGTGTATGATACAATACTATTAACTGTAGTCATCATGCTATACATTAGATGCCTAGAACTTATTCCCCATAACTAGAAGTTTGTGCTCTTGGATTGGACCAACATCTCCTCATCTTCCCCACCCCTCAGTCTGTGGCAACCACCGACATTCTGTTTCTGAGTTCAGCTTCCTTAGAGTCCACAAGTAAGTGAGATCATACAGTATTTGTCTTATCTCCCATGTTTTTGATAATAGCTACTCTTAACAGTTGTGAGGCATATCTCATCGTGGTTTTGATTAGCATTTCCCTGATGATTACTGATGCAGAGCATTTTTTAAAGTACTTGTTGGCTTTTTGTATGTCTTCTTTGAAAGTCTATTTGGGTCTATTTAAAGGAGCTTGAGAAGGATTGGCAGTAATTCTTCTTTAAATGTCTGATGGAATTCACCAGTGGCACCATCTTCTTCTAGGCTTTTCTTTTTTGAGAGGTTTTTGATTACTGGTTTATTCCCCTTGCTCATTACTGGTCTGTTCATATTTTCTCATTTTTCATGATTCAATTCTTGGTTTCATGATTCAATTTTGGTAGGTTGTCTGTTTGCAGGAATTTATCCATTTCTTCTAGACTGCCTTTTTGTTGCCTTATAATTGTTCATAGCCGTCTCTTAGGTTGCTTTGTACTTTGATGGTATCAGTTGTAATGTTTCCTCTTTCATTTATAATTTTATTTACTTGAGTCTTCTTTATCTTTTTTCTTGGTTAGTCTAACTTAAGGCCCAATAGTGGGTATTATTAGTCTCTTTAATGTTTCTAATTTGATGAACAATGATATTTTAACATTTTAATTGTATTTCTGTTTAGAGTGAGATTGGGCATATTGTCCTTTGCTTTTTGCCATTCATATTTCTTTTACTATGAAATGTCTCTTTATATTCTTTTTCCTTTTTAAATAAATTGTTTACCTTTTTCTTATTGAATTATAAGCATTAACGATATGCTGAATATTAATCCTTTGTCTATTATACATGCTGCAGATATTGTACTATGTCACTTTTTTTTATCTTTGTGATATCTTCTATTCCAAAATTTGGATTTTCAGGGTTTTTTTTGGTGGCTTCTGTGTTTTTGTACCTTAGGTAGGCCTTTCTTGTCTCATGGTTATAAATATGTGAAAACTATTTATTAAGGTTGCAATAAGTCAGGACTGTCTTACAGGCCAGAATCTGCTTAGCCTTAGACACGTAAGAGAGGAGCCCATGTACAGTGGCTATGATGTGGAGGCCTGCGACTCCAACTTTCCTCATCTTAAGAGACCAAGGAACAGAACCATGGCTTGTGGATAGTCTCTGCTGCCATGATGCAAGTCCAGAGTGCTCTCACCTACTGTTGTTGCTCACTCCACCCAGGAAGGGTACAGAAAATGTGAAGCCATCTTGAAGACCCAAATTTCAGAGAGTTCCATCCCTTTCTGCCCAAAGTCCTTGAGATGCTTAGCGATCTTAGAACAATGCAGATGGGTGTAACAGGAGAAGTTTTTTCAGGATGTGGTAGAAAAAGCAGTCACAGAGCTGTGATTCTGAGGTCAAACCAAAACAAAAAAAAAAATCCATCTGCACAGTCTCACTGAAGCGTCTGTGTTTATAAGGCTCCATGCTAGGTAGTGTGCAAAATGAGTGATGCCTGCCCTTTTAGAGATAACCCTTTCCACAAAGGTACAGTAGAGCAAAAACCAGACAGATCTGTGATTGAATCTGGCTCTGCCCTTTAGCCCCTGTGGAACTGTGGGCAAACCAGTGACCTTCTCCAGGCCTTGATCTCCTTTTCTGTAAAATGGGCATTATCCTGGCTTGGGGAGATAAGTAGGCTGTGAAGACTGATGAATTAATGAGTGGGAATGTGGGTCATAAGTGCTCTAAGAACAGTATCATTGTTATACTTGGAGTCTGGGGGGGGACATATGAAGCAGATACGATCTCTGTCCCCAAGGAACTTGTGATATACATGCATGGAAATGGAAAATAGGACAAGCAGGAAATGATACAGTTGTCAACTTGTGTGGTGGTGGAAGTTGGAGAGGGGTCTAGTGTTCATGTGGCCTGAGTACTATCCTATTTGTGGTTGTGTTTTTATGAAAGTGGCCAGATGTGTTTTGAGTGGAATGAAATGAAACGACCCCAAGCAGATGGCCTTGTCTGTGGACTCTGTTCGTCCTCCTTGTTCTCGAGGACCATGGACTATCACCCACAGCAGCTTCTGTCCCCAGGTTCTTTTCCTTTCTTTTAGTCTTAAGTGACTGCAAAGGCTTTTGGGCCTCACCAGGCCTCTGACAGCCCTGCTGAAGTGACCCTGTGAGAGCTTCTGTGCATCTGACTAGACATCACCAAAGAAGATTCAGACGGAAAAGCTGAAAAACTGGCTGTTGGTCTCTGAGTAAAGAAAATATAATATATCCTATGCTGAGTCCCCTCCATGGGAATTCAGTTCTGCTCCATGCTGTGTCCT